ACATTGGATAGTGTACTAGAAGACAGTAGAAAAAATATTTGGTGAAACATGCAGCTCACAAGTTACTGTAAGTTGTACCAAATAGCATAAATATTCATTCGACCATCTGATTTAGTAAAACACCAATGTGTAAAATATTGCCTTTCTACTTATAGCAGTCCTAAAACGTGGCAGATTAAGTTGGAGCATTTTAGGCCACCTAAGTTCATCATATAAAGCATTACATTAGTTGTTTTATCACGTAATTATAATTTCAAGTCAGTATTCTGTGCGGTTTTTGGAGTTTTATTGGCTTCATCGATCTGCCAAAAGTCGTTTTACAACTTTACAAACCTTTAAGTCCCTAGTAGACGGTCGAGTCATACTATCTGGAAACAATTGAATTTGGCCAAAGTGAAAAATTACTTACTAAAAATGGGAGGTGATTTCCGACGGGGATTTTGTACGAAATTTGATGGCATTTCTAAAATTGATATTTTTAGAAGGGCAAACAATTGTCCACTTTTGCAACGCAGATCATTTCTGGAGTTGCAATGGATCGCGAATCTACAGCCAGTAATATATGACGCAGCTACCACCTTGGTGATTAATGGCTTGAAATGCTCCAAAGTTTAAAACCTCTTAGGAAGGCATTGGAATCCAGTGCTGCATCCGATTTGGCCTGCATCTCAACACACTTGTTTAAAGCCCGCTTGATATCAATCTGAGTAATTATTTATACCAGGGTAAGCCTTCTGGCGCCAGAAACCTCTTTGATGATCTGATATATGGTGCATTAGGTCGATTTGATGCGCCATTATAAGGAATCTGGGAGGGCAGGTGGGGTGCTAATTTAAATAACAAAAACAGGACACCAAACTATCAAGATGGCAAATAAAAGCGTCCATTGACTTACTTGATGTCAATAAAAAATACGCAGGGGAATGCTGATATTAATAAAAAAGGGATGCAGCATCCAGCAAAATATTGTAATTGGAAACTCTATTTTCTCTCATTTCTAAAATTTTAGTCTGTCTCGCATTAGCCTTCGCGGTGTCAAGGCAGCACAAACAAAAATTGCCTGACATCGTTGACTTCGTTCGTGACTCGCTTTCATCCGGTGACGTTAGAAAAAGATAAGTTAAAAGTATTTGTTGTTATGAAGAACCATGGCTACACCCAGTTTACTTTCCATGGCATGCTAGCTTATGTGTACACAGTATTTGAGCTCCAATTTTCGATCTTTTAATGCACCGCAGGGCCATGCGCTTCAGTTCCCTTCAAAATAGCTGCAAATTTGCGGGACGATATACATTTTCGTGTGAGAGGCTACGAATCTCCGCATTCCCTGCATTTACTATGCTTTTGACCTCCTCCCAGTGTAGCAACTTGGAGAGTTAAGGATGGAAAAAACAAATGGGGCGAGGTAGAAACAAAACACAAATTTTTAGTTTCGAGACCAAATTGTTGGTGGATTCTTAAAGGTTGAATTTCTTTGCCTTTTGTGGAGAGATGGCAACTGAGGGGAGTGTAGCTTTCATGTTGTTGGAAAATACTTGGAGAAAAATTGTTTATATGTGAGTTCTACCGATTAGGACAGTAAATTTGTGCTCCAGAATTGTATGACAGTCCCGGTTTCCGCTACCATCGCCCATGACGATCCACTTCAAATCATCACCCGTAGTAAAATGAAATCCTGAAAAAAACCTTGTCAGTATCAAAGTTTTTTTACAATTTGCTGTGCTGTCCTAGGGATGGTTGATGTGATTGTAGACCTGGAAAGTGTCCCACCTCAAGCCATTAAGTCTACCAAACTCGCAAGAGTCACCAGGACTTGTCAGCTTTACTGGCGGGTTTTGAAACTTGTCTTGGCCTTGTTTGTATGAGGTGGTCTTCGGACCAAGCCATATCCCGCCCTTTCTCTTTCTTCTTCCCCTTCGTCTAAAGTACGCATGTTCGGCCGAAACGGGAAGTCTCAGGACGTTGCAACGCTAACTTCTGATGACAAAAGACAAACAACCACCCACTTTCCACTTGTTGTAGCACCACGTCAACAGTTTGAATGTTCAACCTGAGTGTTATCCATATTTCCAGTGAAGGCATAATCGCATACTTCTAGATACTTCTTCCATTATTGTTTTACACATTTGATGTCTCTTCCCTGATTTCTGCAATGATGCATCGGGTGCCTTTTTACTATTGTCGGGACCACTAAAAATGGTGCAAGTAGAAAAGAAACCACAAATGACTCAACTAGCTGTTCGTGTCAACATCCACCAAACACGTTTTCATTCGGACCAACCAACTTTTGAATGTGTGTCTGAGTTACTCGCGCATGCTGCACTAATATGCGTTGGTGCTGCAAAAAAGCGTCTGCTTGCACAAGTTTTGTATTATTCAAGACTGGAATTTGGTGTGCAATGGGATGCAAATCCATGGGATTCTATGATCTTTGTATAAATTTGCATAATATGATGCCAGGCTCATTCGTTTGGTCATTTTTTTGATATTTAACTTAATAAAACATTTAAGCATCTCCTATTATTTTTAAGTCGCTGGCGAAATGGTGTTTAAGTGTAGGCTTTTTTTTGCTGTAAAAAAAAATAGGCAACAAAATACTTGCAGAAGGTCTTAACACTTCCAAATTCGCATTGAAAGGGTCCTCATAAGAAATTGTCGGTTGTCGTGACTCGAGACTTGACACTAGGTGGAAGGAGGCATTAAGTTGGGCTGCGTGTACGTGTTTTTTGGGAGAGGGAGGGGAAGGAGGACTGAGAGACTGTACTTAGCCTTCTAAGCTGCTCCAACTGAATCTGGACTTGCATTTACTCTGAGACCAAAGGTCGCAGAGAGGTATTTCTGCCGACCATCGATCGTGCCAGGACTAGACATTGGTACGCCAGTCGAATACAGATGTTTAGCAGGTAAATCGGCATCATTCACACTCCCACATGGAAAGACATTTGCCATAGTGTCATCTCCGATATCTACATGCGGATGTGGCAAAAGGAAAATGCAATACGCAATAGTTCACGGGGTCACTAGATTGCCTGTGGGATGCCGGAATGGGAGGAGCCAAACACGAACATCATTCGCAAGACTCCTGTTGTGAAGACTGCAAAGCATCTGCCACCTGCTCGTATCCTTCGTGTGGAGGGTGTGCCTCGATGGGCGACCAGTGGAGCGGAGGTGGGTAAAGAGTTGTGATGGCTTCCCGCTGTCGCCAGTGTAGCGGCTTGAGACTCGTCACTCGGTGGACGAGGGGATCTTGTTAGGTCGCATACATGTATTTTATGAAGCGGAGGCAAAATTTCTGACTCGGCTCAAATGTCCGTTTGTGCGCAAAAGCCAAACACCCACCCACACCGGTATTTACGCATTTTTTTTTTAACTTTTGAAATTCTATATTCCACTCCCAAATGGTTAACAAAACAAGCATTTCTTTTCTTCACCTTGTTAAAGTTCGTCTTAGCTTGTAGAGCTCTCATTGCAACTTTGTAGTTTATTTGAAACAAAGAGTGGAATTTGTGCCTTTGTGTGTTGCTGTGTTGAGCAGATTTACCTTCCTCGTTACTTATAACCGCCAAGTAAATCGGATTTTTTATCATAATTTCGACTTTACTTGATCTGCCTACTCCATTAAAAAAAAACAAAGAAACAGTCGCACGAATTGATGCGTGAGGCGGCCTGTTTTTTGTACAGTCCAAAGTAAATGAAGGCGACGAAACTTCCCTGTCGCCATGCGGGACTCTCCTCCCTCCCTTGCAGTAGAAATTGAAGAGCAAAAAAAAAATTTGGTTGATACCTAGTTGAAGGGAAGGAGTGATTAACTTCCTCCTTCCAATCCTCAGAGGGAAAAAGGTGCGTGATAGCGTTAGATTTCTTGATACGCCTCTTTATTCCCTTCACAAGACAACAGATTAACTGTGTGCCTGGGTGGAGACAGTCGCCCAGGGGATAATTACACCTCCTCAGTTTTTTATCGAAGCAATTTGCTCTGTCACATCACTTGATCAGTTGTGATTGCGACTTTGTGCAATGCTGCAAACCCCCTTCTAACGATCGTTCCTCTGGGATGGGGCATTGGGATGCTGTCTAACGGCGTCTCCGACGGAGTTGTCCCTCAGTGGCCAGACAACTTTATCTTATTTTATTCCATTTTTTGTGTGTTCTCTTTCTTTTCAATATTTGGGTAGCACATTTGGCTGCCAATTGTAGTGCATAAATCGGAGAGAAAAGAAAAGGAGTGTAATTTCGTGTTTGAGTATATTCATCCACACTGGCCACTAGGGGACCAAAAAGGATTGACAAAATATTTAACCTATTGCTGCGTGAAGTAACACGAATTTCTCCTACTTCCCACTGTTTAAGAAGAGGGCTAAGGCAACAACTTGTTGTCCATGGTGATAACCAATCTTCCCTACTTTTAAATTAGCACTGAATTGTTTTCATTCTAAATTGAATTCGTTCTTGTGACGGTCGCCAGTTTTTAGTCCTCTTCTTCTTCTTCTCTTTTGCGCCACTTTAAGAATCCGTGCAAATAGTTTGATAAGGCCTTTAAGTACTTCACTGTTTAAGTTAAGGTATAACACAAAATAATGACGACTTAGTCTATTTCCTCTGCTACTTAAATAATTTCAGCGACTAATGCATGGCAGAATTTTGGTTGGGTGTTTTATTTTGTGATTATCACCTCGAAAATTGAGAAGCCTGATCCAAGTGACACTGTAAATGGTAAATTTGTTACATCACCTCAGATTTTAGTGAGACATAACCAAAACTAAATGTGTAAATAGCGATTTAGTAATGCATTTGGAGTACGATTATGAGTAATGGCAAAATAGTGACCTTAGATACAACAAGACGCAAAGAGTATAGAATTAAAAATATCCACAAGCACGCACACAAAGAAGAGAGTTAGTGGTTATGGTAGTAGTTGGAAAGAGGTAGCAAAGAAGAGGTGGATGGGTAGGCTGGTGTGTGGATGGATGGTTTCATGAATGCTCTGGTGGATAGGCAGATCAAACGAGAATGGTGTGCCATTCGGCCACTTGTTTGCGTGGATTCTCGATCGCCTTACTCCAGTGCTCCTTCGCCTTGTCATTACCGCGACAACCAATGGTGACACGACCGATCACCCTGCTTGGAGAGTCTCGCTCCCAATTCACTAATCGAAATTCCAACCTGATATCTTCCAATTTGGCATTGGGAGGTATTTCCAGGGCAAAAGCCTCATTAAACACAGGATTTGATGTTCGTTTTTTGACGTGGGTCTTCTTTTTGGCAATGCGTCTGTCGTTCTCCATGAAGTAGAGCTTTACGTATGGATTTCCTGCGGATTGAAGAAAGATACTGCACCATAATTTAACGAAGCTTAAACCTGATGTGGTTGCTGACTAATTGGAATTGACACTATTTCCAGCAGTTGACATACTTACAGTGCATGCACGTGGGCATGAAAAAGGGTATCCGCATCTAACTTATTTTTTGCCCGCGGGGGAGGCTAACTCGCAAAAGAGGAGCACTGACGCGCACGACCAAGTTTGTCAACTCAAGATGCATACCCTGGATACTGATTCAAAGCTAACACGGGAATGACAGCAGACACTTGCATTTTTATTGCCTCCTCATTGATCTAAATACATCACACGGTTTTAAAATACAATGAAATGTGCACTAGCCTTTCGACAACTAGGGAACCGTAGCATGGGTGGGAAAGGATTGCACATGCGTAGCCAAAATAAAACTCATTTTGACAACAAATAAAACTTGTCGGTTTTAGAAATGCTCAGCATGAATACTAATCCGAATTAAGTAGTATCATTCGTCACAAGCGCAAAAATTAATCAATTATACTTGGCTGATTTCGGGAGCATGTAACAAAAAAATCTTTCCTTTTTGAGTACAGCAAGTAATTCTCCAGGGACGGCGTCGCTGGTGCAAAGTATAAAAAGCACATTACTTTTTGTCGAGTAGTGAAACAGCGCCATAGCTTTCATTTAGCGAGAGATGGTTGAAAGCATCTAACCATTTAGCACGCACAAACTCTTTCATGAGAAGAAGAAAGCTATTTCGAATTCGAGGCCATTTTTGGCAAATAAACAAACAGGTGTGAAATTTGAGCCATCTTTTGAGACTGAAAAATAACACCACCTTGTGGTAAAAGTACGCCTCTGCGTACTTTTTGCGCTACACAAGAGTTTGGTTTGACAAGAACTGTCGATTCAAAATGTTTACTAGTCAGCCACTCCTTGCTACCCTCATGCATCCTCTTGGTACTTCAAGTTTCGCTTCTGGCATATTAACGTCAGGTACTATGGCTGCCGTCTGGACGCAATAAAGGTCAAGCCTTTAGTTCCTACTTAGAGTAAAAAAATATTGCTTTAAAATCCCTGAATTTAGAATGCACAAGCTGCCAGGTTGAAGATTCTTTTTTGCATGTGAGCCCACTAGCGAAGTGCTAAGATGGTTTATCAACCATTTTATTACCTGATGAATTGGCGAGATCAACCTTGGGAAGGCCTTCTGCTTTGAGGACAACTGCAGTTAAACGACTTGCCGCAGGCAAGTAGCAGAGGCTTAGCAAAAGCATGCCACGGTTCTTATCTGAGGGCTAAAGAAAATTTGGGCGTAATTATTTATACCACTGATATTTCGTTCAAATCTGCTGTCATAGCGTGTGTAGTTCCGACCAACACACCTTAACAGCATTTATAATCGCAATTTGTAGCTTTTGGAGATGACGATGGTGATGATAGTATGGCATGCGACTTACACTGAATTTCCGTCTCAGTATGTCTCTAGTGACGGTCACTTCCTTGACAAGATTAAGCTCCAGATCACCAAGCGTACAGACAACCTCACCGATAACGGAGTCGCGAGAATGTCGATCGAATCCAACTACTATGAAATGCAGGGAGCCCGCCTTCAGCAGACTTAGCGGAACTTTATCCATCGTGAAAACTTCCCCATAGAAGGGATTACTTGAACCCCTCACCACTCTCGTTTTAACTCGATGTCGCTTCTCTGGCAGTAGTTCAAGCTTCACGTAGGAATCGACGGTGTTCAAGCTGGAATCAATTTGTGGCAATTCCACACAACGCAGAATGGAGACCTGCAACTCCTGAATATTATTGTCATATGCGACTGTAAATTGAAGTTTGCCATTTCCTTTGATTATATGATTTGTGGCGGAAGTATGGACTCCCGTTTCACTGACAGGTTTATCCGGACTCGGAAGATGGTGTAGCGAGTTTAAACCATTGCCAGCTACTGAAGAACCTGCCCAAGATTGGGTGTAGGAACGGGGCTCGTCTAGAAGCTGCTCCTTGCCAAGATTTATGGTGTGATGAACTTCTCGTCGCGAGGTGTTCCATCCACCGTGGATGATGGTGCGGCGTCGACGAATTAATACGTACGCAGTGATTCCCACAGCCAGTACAAGAAAAGTGAAGGCAACTATGAATCCAGCAGTGGCGCCAGGATGCTTCATCAGTATGGATTCTGATGTGACTAAACGACCTAAGTAAGTTTGAATAATAAGCATCATATCGGATGGCTCTCCATACTACAAAGTCGAAGGAAGGGTATACATTTGTCACTTTATTTTTAGCGTGACTAATGGAATTTAGTTTTTGTTGATTTGGGAGAGGCGAGAGTGAAAAGAACGCAGAATACACGTTGTTATGTGCTAGCGGAAGGGACAATTCAGTCCTCATCTGAATTATGTAGGTCAGTCGTCTTATTCTCCATTGATTGTCCTCAGCCAATTGCAATTTGAACACAACCATAAAATAGGGCAGAAGGTAGATTCTAGGCGCATATGCTAAAGTATCCGATATACTAATCCACTAGAAAATTCATTGAAATATCGTAACTACTTAAGCTTAAAATCACTTGTATACGCTAAAATGGATAAAAAGGGGACACGTTGTAGTTATAACCAATTATAGAAAATCAAATGTTTGACCTGATTTGCTGTATATTATGCGAATCATATATTTTAACAAAAGGTCATTGGAACTAACGAACAAATTTCAAGGTCACTTTTCGATGGCGCTAACAAAAGTGCGCAGCGAATGAACTCCTTTCCTACGCATAAATTTCTCAGATTAGCCTTTTAGTAGGAGGCGGAATAGATGCTTATCTTTTTTCCTCGAATGACGCAAATAGTTAATGGCTGTTTGCGGCTACCTGTGCTCAAGAATGAAGGGATGTACTGAAATGAACTTTGTTTAATGCATGTTTGAAATACATGGTACTTTGCATAACTCGCGAAACATAGCAAGGAAACTTATGGCTATGCAAGTACTACTGGCGCGGTGCAAAATCAAGGTAAAATTAAAGATTTTGGACGAAATTGGAAATAAGAACCTGTGATAAATGCAGGGACCTTTGTTTATTTCCACAATGATGGGAAAATTCGAGCAAATACGAGTACTTCTCGGTTGGTTAATAAATGCAGGGGAGTGGGGTGGAAACAAACTATTTGCAAAGAAGGGGTTAAAAAGTAGGCTTAGTTCGCTACAATCAAGACACAATCCTGTCTGTATATTGACGGAATCACAACAGATAGTATCTAGCAAAGTGGTAGAGGGAGACTGAAAGTCCTACCTCCATCGGTCTGCTTCATTTTCCTTCACTACTTGTCGGTTTTACGTCCACACAAATGGTGGATGATCGCCCATGCGGCAGCGGGAGAGCTGTATCTCACTCGTTCACATACAGTCTAATTTTATCCCTCTCCATCTCTCTTCCTTGCTTTCTGATTGGTTGAGTGGACGGTGTCCCCGCCTACGCACGTCCATCGCGCGCTCACACTCTCACCACGAGTGCAACGACGCGTGCGAGCGCCGGAGGACAGTTAGCAGTTTAGGCGCAGTGAGAACTTAAAATTAGTGTGTTGTCACTTCGACACTAAAGTGCATTTAATGACCGAGAATGGCTAAGTAGTGACCCGAGTAGAACATTTTTTTTCCATAATGAAGTGTCACGCAGCTTCTTATTCCTTTTATTTAATAATTAAAGTGAAGGGGAAGTCTGAGGTAGTCTAATTACTCAAAACGACTTTTGTGACCTTTTAATCACACATTTTTTGGTATGATATTAAAAATAGAAAGACCAGTTACCTTTAGTTACCTTAATTTTTTCAGGTGCCTCCATGGGATAAGGGATTAGCCACACCTTGCCCACCCACTAAACAGATTCTTTGATGTCGTGGAATAAAAGGTTCCAATCTTCAGAACTGCTTACCCCCAACTTGACGCTCACAAAGGCCGATTGGTCCGGCATCACTGAGATTTCCAAGTTGCACCGGGAGGAAATGCCAAAGGGAGAAAAAATGCGAATGAGGCAGTACTTCGCAGGCCACTGCAGACGTACGGAACTAGTAGTCGCCTAACCAACTGACTCGTTCTGGTTTAGTGAAGGCAATGAATATGTTATCACCTAGCCTTTGCGGTATGTCAAGAGCTCCTCAGATAGTACTTGCCTCTAGCAAAATTTTCCTGTAAATAATTTAAAAGGCAATCCACTGCGAGTGTGCACGAAATGAACAAAATTGCCTAACAGTAAGGCAACACATCGGGTGTTGGATGTAAGGTGAATTATAAAGGGACGAAGGCCAACCCTCATTATTAAATGATCATTTAATGGACAACCCAAGATCTACTCACGCTATGCATGACTTCAAGTTAACTTTGACGCCTTCTATTTAGGTAAGGTTTAAAAGGCGTCAAAATCTAATGCCACTTCGATTCAACCACCGATGAAGAGTCAATAAATGATTCAATGTTTTATGAAACTTACCGTCTTTTAAAATGTATTTTGCCACCATGATTGACAAGACTAATTTCCAAGGCGTCGAAGCAAATTTACGTCTTGCCTGTCAAGCAGTATTGCGCAGATCGGCAATAGGTTGCAAAATATATGAACGTTGGTACTCTGCGAGTAAGGTCATCATCAAGGTCCCGGTAAATTGTCATTTTGATGTAATCGAAAAAGGTATCCAGAGTCAGAGACTTTCGGATTCATTTAAAAAGAAGTGGCTTATAAGAAGTATTAAAGAGTGAGGAGGCACATTCAAATTTAATCCAGACATTTTCTGAACTGAGGATTGCTGTGCCTCAAGGTAGAAGCAACCAAAACCGGAAGCATCATTGATAGACGAGCATGCAACATTAAAAGTCTTAAATCCTATAATCCTTCCCCACTGAGGGTTACTGCCTGTCGTAAAGAATTGGGAGTTAGTATGGCTTCGCATGCAAGTAGTGACTTTGGCTTTTGCAGATTATCTTGTGACCAGCTTAATGACTGACAAATCCCTCCACCCGATGCCTGCACCACAATTTCAAGGCGTTATTACAACTCCGATCATTATCCTGTGAACTTACCGTTCACAAAAGCCCGCTGTTTATGCTCTAAGGAAAAACTTCACTTTCTGCTACAGCCAACCAATGCGGCAGCTTGAGATAATGATGCCGATCTAGGAATACGAAATCATGGTCATGACTCTTATTGACAACGTAATGAAGGACTGAGGGCTCATATAACCGAAATTTCAGGCTACAAGGCTAAATAATGAGGAGGTGCATTTAGCGATTTTTGATTGGCTGTGGTGCTACCACCACATTACTGACCAATCAGGTGAAGGGATTCAATGAGAGTGCTGTAAGTGTTTTGGGCAAAAGTACCAATACGGTAGCCTCGAAACTTTAAAGTAGAAAAGCCATTTTTCAGTCTCAAAAGTGTTGGACTAAGGGATTTCATCAGATGTGGACCTAGCCCTCCTACTGTGAGAATGCTTCTGATCAAATTGAATTGTGCAAAGAACTCGCGGCCAGTAACCATTTCTTTATGGCCATGGCATTGTCCTACTACCGCTGCAAAATTATGAGTTTTGGATTTCCGATTCTTCATCTTTAAAATGAAGTGTACTTGAAAGGTTTGACAGATCGCGATTGCTAAAACACCCTCCTCGTATTTGCTTTTATTGCAAAAACAACCCATAAAAATTTTTATCAGCATATAATAAGCCAACTTGACAAGCATCAACTTTCTTCATCCAATCTATCATTATATAATAGCTTAATTTTGAATGATCAAAGTATCAAGTGCTACGGCCTAATGACTTTGCTGTTGGATGGGTTAGTGTGGATTGCATAGACTTTGCAAAGGCAGGCCAGATTAATGCTTAAAAAAAACACTCACTATCGACCTAAACGCCAGCCTCCGGATACAAGAAGCTCACACTCGAATCATTGACACCATTTTTTCCTTCTCGATTTTACACTCTCAAATGTTAAGACACAAAGGAGGTTTCATCCTTCCTCATACACTTCTACACAAACGCCATGCATATTTTACCATTACCTAAGTTTGACATTGCTGTAAACATTAAGTCTGGCGAATTGTCACTTGGAAAAGCAGATTTGACAATTTCCTTACTACTGGTTCTGTGGAGCCAACCACTCGAAGAAGGTACGCATCTTTCGCAGCAGCAACTTTTGACTTTTTGAATGGAGACCGAGTTAGATGAAATCTGGTAGAATTGGACGGACGGACGAAATGGAGGATTGCAGAAATGGTAGACGGAAGACCATGGTCCAGGGCGGAGCCTAATTACTTAATCATACTGTCCAGAAAAAAACTAAGTCATTACAATCAAGGTTTACGGCGGTTAAGACCGGTCTCTTTGCTCTTCGGCATTCGCTTTTTTCGTAAACCAGAAAATAAAAGGCAGCTAACGCCGGAAACAGTTTGAATACACCACAAAAGCCAAGCATAGTAGTAAAACTAATCTCTGTTGATGAGGATGGGAATGGATAAATACACTGCCAATAGCATCCTACCGAATCACCACAGTCTTACCCTAATAGATCTAAACAGAACATTTCGCTCCCAAAATTGTAGAGACTACTAAAAGTTCCTCAACCTGCACCCAATCAGTTATGGCACAGCGACCACGATGATTGCCTCCCCCTGATTGGTCAGCTATCAGGCGATCGCAACACAGCAAATCAAAACTCGGTAACGAAAGCAACTCACGTCTCTGCACTTTGACCATCAGAGGTGAAGGTGCCTTTGAACTGCACAATTTCAGCCACTGATGCAATATCAGTGACATCAACCGCCTTTTATACTTTTTGCGCGTAGCTAATGGAATCCCCTATCATATGTTTATGCCTCAACGACCTCATAAATGCCTCTGATTGGTGCACCAGTCAGTTGTAGCTGCAGGCAAACCTTATCTTCTATGAGCACACAGTTTCAATTCTCAGTCAGACTGCAGAACAGAATTACGTGGCTGTGAGGAGGGGTGGAGGGAGGCTCACATTAAAAGCCTCGGCCAAACCCTCGTGACCTCAAGGCAATAACTTCGACCTTCCACTTGTAATTGATGTGAGCATAAATTGGATCGTTGAATAATTCCAATTTATTAATATCAAGAGTAATAGACGTACCAGTCTCAAAAAAGATTTGAAGCATTTTTGGGTTTAACCTATACTGTATTGAGAGGAAATAATAAAGATTGGTGTGCTGATGAGTTTGCCCATATGCAGACCTTATGATGGAAAAATATGAAAAGGTGACTGGAGAACTCGGCCAGGAAGCACAGAAAACTGAGTAATTGTCTAACGCCTCCAAATCAATTTAGTATAATTGTTACCTCCAAAACAGCACATTGTTGTACTACCTTGTACCCCGCCCAAAGAAAAACCATGGATTTTTTCTTCACAAACAACATCGCCTTATCAAAAAGCAAAAAATAACTTCAGACAAAAGAGTCACTGCTTCAAAGAAAATTTTGGCCCAGTCGTAGTACTCCACACACCCGACGCAGCATGCTCAATGCAGGAGTCGTAAATACCTTCCAAGGAGAGTCGATGCAGCGTAATACTCACTGCGTTAACAATAACGGCAGGAGGCGGAGCGCCCTCTGTATCTATCAATCTGCTTGCTGCAGTGTGGAGCAAGAGAGGAGCAAGATGAGGAGACAGAAGACAAGCCTCATGGAGATGGTCTAGAGCAGCGGAGGCGCCATAACCCTCCAAACAAGGCAAATAGACCCGAGGAAGGACGCCGTGGGCTAACTGAGGACTATGGCGAAGGAGGCGGAAGAGGAGATTCAGCAACTGAGGATAGATTGAGAGCTCAGTTGCCAACGCGGAGCTGCTGCTGCTGCTGCTGCTGCTGCTGCTGCCATGCCGACTGGCCCCACGAATAATAAGATCCTCCAGTTCTGACTGGAAAAGACAGCGCGCAGTTTATATGGCCTTACACAGCGACCTGCTATTGCTACTGCTTGGCAATCATAAAATCCTATAAACGCTGCCCATACAGGTCACTTCATTCTCCCCAATTTCACTTCCCTACTTGCTATCGAAGTCATTCCTCTCGAATAAATGCTTTATAGACGCCTTTAGAAAAGTCTCTAGAGGACTACAATAGAGAAGAAGGGGTCATAAGCGAACCTGGCCTGAGGGAACAATAAATCCCTACATTAACAGTTAAAAACTGCACCTAAATGACCGAAAAAGAGGGGTAAAACTACCATTGTTTTTTTTTCCATTTTCTACAATGTGAGCAGGCACTAAAGGGAGGTAGAATCTTGATTGCTTCCTTTACGACTAACGCTGCCACATGCAATCTAGCCACTAGGATAAACAGCCACGCAAAATAGACAAGTCTTGTATCCCCAATGAGCAGGGAAGCAAATTGGGGAGTGGACGCTGTCAGCCACTTTTTATAATCACTGTGACACAAGCGCTTGAGCAAAGAATCCTCGTAGGTAAAAAAAAGAAAATATGACAGTTTTGTGCCTTACAGTTGGAAGCGCTTTAAAAGAACAAAAAAACTACAACACATCATCTTGTCAACAAAAATTGGGAAACTTACTTGAAAGTGGACAAGGAATTCCACCTTTCTTGAGGTAAGGACATCAAGATCGGAGATGATAGTGACGACCTCTATAGAGGAGAAAAGTAAAAGGGAAAAGACTGATCTCCTACGAATGAGGTGTCGATAGCTGCACTTGCATTGCCATCAAGACGGCTGGCAATGATCGGAGAGGAGTAAAGCCTCAACTCGTGAGCAGTTTATGCTTGGTTAAAGGCTAAATTTCGCTAACATATAGTATCAAATCAAACAGATCCACCAAAACGCCAGGTATTTTTGTAAACTTTTGTCCAGATCGGTGAAAACCTGATCGGCACAATTCGATCGCGTAGTTCCACACGAGAGAAGGACGATAACTCCTGAGAAGACGAGCTGTTCAAAAATGGAGATCAGTTGAATTAATAGAGGATTTGGTGTCAAGCGGCCTTCAAGATGACAGGTAACCATTGAAATGCTTCAGCACTGATTAAACTGATTCATTTTATGCTACATAATTCCATTCGTTTGATTTTTTGCAAGATACAGGAGACAAAGGCAAAACGAGGGCCTCCAGACGCATACGTAACGAATTACGGCAACAAAAAAAAACCGATTTGCTTATAAACCCGCCGCCTAGAGCCCTGGTTTTTTAAACACCGATGAAACACGGAAAGCCTCGGGCAGAAACAATGCGATGTCTGCCTGCCTGTCTCCCGACCATACCAACGAGAGCTAATCAAGCGGGAATGCCAAACAATGTCAGAAAGCAATGGTCCTAGCAACGTGAAAGAGTTGTTTTGATAGGCATAAAAAAAAGAGATATGATCAAAATAGTGGAAACCGTATCGCGTGGAGCGAAGATTAATAATGAACAAAGAGGACGATGTAGTTTTAAGCCTCTGCCAAAACTTCACAGGAAGGGTCAGTAAGGCCGCTGCACCTGTAGATATGTCACCCTAAAGGGCCCAAGTTTTTTACGACCGCTAATGTAAAGCGAGGGCAAATTGGGCGTTTTAGCTCACTCTCATACATCAAAGCCTACTTACCAGGCCCTTTAAGGTACTTAATCAAGAAGTAGAGGTAACTAATACAGGCTACACAACTTTGAGGAGAAGAATAAACGAGAAAGGATGATTTTTCAGCACTTTAGTATTTCAGCTTAGGAGCAACATTTGGTCAGAATTTGAAATTTCTAATAAGAGTAATTACGACGGAAGTGGGTTAAAGCGATCATCTCAAGGCAATTGCCCAACATTCAACGGTAGAAAGCACCAAAGTAACAAACAGGCTTTCGAGACCATTATATGACCAGAAGGGTGGCCGAAAACACTGCCGTCCCAAGTAGTTTGAGCATAAAACGTCGCGTCGCTAGAAATCACCTCACGAACACGTCAGTTCTATTCCTAAACCGCTTGATTAAAAGTGTGCAGTTAAAGGCGATACCAATGAAAGTCAATCACTACTTTAGGAAGGAAGAGGAAAATTGAATTCATACATCATCAAGTCTCCATCACGTTCTAGCTGTTAATAAAAAAGGCTTCTGTACATACTCAGTAGCTGTTTATGCTTTAGTGAATAAAAAAAAAGCTCAATGAATAACACCGTCTTCAGCAGACCACACACGCAAAGCGTAGTCTTCTCACAGGATGAAATAGCAGGTCCCTTAGAGCTTACCGTAGGCGGATTATTTGAATCGTTTAAGCGTGTGCTTGGTTGTCTAACAAATGCTAAATCCCAAAGAGCCTTATTCTACCTCACGACGGTCTTTGGAACTTCCACCCATCATCGGCTCCCTCCAGCCTACACCCAACAGCGTCACATTGTCCACCCACAACTCATGCAAAATGACTTAATGGTTAACTGTTCCTTGGCGTCGATAATGAGCGCTTCTTTGTGTCACCTATTCTAAGTAATGCGAATTTATTGAGCTAGGAATGGAATGGAACTCGACCCATAATGCAGACATGTTCAAGCTATATCTCACAGAATAAGGAGTTCAAGATAAGAAGTAGGGTGAAACACACACAAACAAACCAAACCAAAAACCGCACAAATTTTTCGGCCTCGTGATTGATTGTGCCCACATCCATTGCATCAACATGTGCAGTCAGGTTTACGTTCAAGCCCAAGTATGACCGTCTAGATGTTGTGGCATGATTTCTGCATAAATTGTTGTTCCACAAAGAAAGGAGAGAGGTGTGGGAAATGCTCTCACGTGTTCAAACCTACTCCATTCTTTATCCCGGTCGGAGCATACTATACAAATCGTTGGAACGCATGGAGACAACAGTTGAACCCACTAAACCAATGCTATGTATTTAGCCAATCAACTCAGACAACTGCAACAATTAGCTTATTTAGTTGAGATGAGTTCATTACTTAGGTCAAGGAGGAAAGCCTGTGAGGGCGCAAACCCACAAAGGGAGTGAAATCGAAATTGTTCAGTTGCAGCTGCACAGTTTTGTAGCTAGCATATCGAAGTTAGTAATTGAAGTAGAGTACAAAGATCAGGGCAAGAGGTGATGTCTGTTTACGACAATCCAACGATCCATCTTCCTCCTCCTTGGTTCAGAACAACTACATGGTTTGAGCAAACGGCCAAAGAAAAAAGGGCTCGAAAATTTGACTGATTAACGACATCTCCATTCAATAATCTGACCTCACACCTTTCTGCTTAATCACGATCTTAAACTCGTCCCTAATCTAACCACTTAGACGAAAAAAAATAATAAGAGGCTACAAACCCTCAGGATTGGAAGGATTTCTTAGCCGCTGAATAAAGGGTTGGAGAGAGGAGATAGGACTACTGTGTTTCGAGGACGCATTGGGCAGAGGAGCGATGGATGAAGACTGAAGATCCAAGAAAGGAAGAGGCAATGTACACTCTGCCGCCAGTGGAGCAAATTCGTGCATGGATTCTGCCAACTCTGCCAACTCCCGAGTTCGAGGCATTCCACCGCCACTCTCACCACTGCCACCAAGGAGGCCATTCTCGGTACGCGCCCATCGTGCTGAGCTCGCGTAGGCTAGTAACAACCTCGCCAGACGTCGGGCAAATCCACCCGCCATCTTTGCTGCATGATTTGGGTAGCTGGCGGCTGCATGAATCAAGCTGGAGAGAATCCCATCAATGGTACCTCTTAAAAATCAAGGGAGGGAAAAGAACGCATTAAGATTATTTATAATGACACTATCCACAGACCTTGAACGAAAATTTGTAAAGGTAGTAACTAAACTACTGCCGCTACTAAATGATTTTGACCGGGATCCCCACTCTCTTACGAAATTACAAACGGATTTTGAACTCCCCTCAAGGCAGCAATGGCTCATACGATAGAAAGGTAACAGTTATAATGGAAAACCTAAATTTGTTACAAATGAGCGAATCCGAGGAGTTTCACAGTGAAAGGCTCGTCAATGCCACTCTCAGCTCAGGCCAAGCAAAAAGGCACGAGACTGTGGTGACATCCTAAAGAGCTGCCACAATGGTTGACTCGATGTTGCACATCCTTCCATGCCACAATTGTGTCTGTGTCAATAAACTGTTAGGAATGGCCAAATTCACAGAAGTCCACAATGAACGGGTAATCGAAAATGCGTCCCTCCAGTGGGTAAATGAGGTTTGAAGACTCCGAAAACACCTTTAAATACAGAGTTGATGGCACTCATTCTAAGACTCTCAATTGTTCTTCATGATAGCAGTTAAAATTTTTCCTTGAATAACTGGAGAAAACATGGTAACTTCATCAAAGTAATATTGCTTCCATAACCAAGGTTAAAATCAGCTTTAAAATGAAACCGGATGCAGTGGATTAAGTCAGATGTACGCATATCCGGAATGAACAAACGTATGTATGAGTAATTTGTAAACGATTTAGTTGCTGTGACTTGAGGTCCGCAGATCATAAAAAGTTATGCACGTTATCACAAATCACCAAATTAAACCTCTTCAACTTAGTAAATTAACACAAGGAGAAACGCAGGTTT